ATCCTTTAATTTCATGTTTTGTTAATTAAAAAAATTAACTGAAAATACATTTTGAATTCCTTCTATAAATATGAGTATACTTGTATATTCGTGTTTATATGAATCATCACATTGAAATAGTTTGGTTAAAACATTTGCGTTTTGTTAAAATATAATGAATAAATACTTTATCTACTTGTTTAAATGATATTTATGAAAACTCTGTTTTGAGCTGTAGCCACAAAAAGCAGGATTTTCAGCAGAAAAGCCTTACATTTTTGTCATTTCCCCTGCGAGCTAGCAAAGCTTTTTTTTCTTTCCAGCAGGTAAATCTTAAAATCCAAATATTGTTTGAAGTTTTCTCTTTAAAATTATGTCACAAATTCCTCATTAGAACAACAAAAAATTTTATTCAAACCAAATAATATTGAGTGATCCAGATTAGGAAGACAAATAAAAGCAAAACTTCTGGAACTGGTTGATATCAGGATGTCAAAATGTAGCTTAAAAAGCAGGAATCTGAAAATGTGCTCTAGTGATTTTGACCAAATTTGTGAAATTCAGTTTGATGCGATGGGTCACAGGTTTGAGGTGGGAAAAAAAACAACAACGGTAGGTAAAGCTAGAGTAAGCATAGGTAACAATTACACATCAGTAATTTCACCACAAATTGTGACATTTGGTCTCTTTTGTATTAAATCGTAGTTTAATAAAACTGATTATTTTTTTAACGTTAAAAATTCACATTTGTTGTATAATGTGTGTTTTAAAGCTGTAGCTAATTTATATTTGATCTTATTATATAAACATCCTGAATCGTCAAACGTTCCTTGTGGCTCTCTGCAGATGAAAACGAGTGTCAGGGCGGCACCGTTTGTGGTTCTGCCTCCTGCTTCAACACTCTGGGCAGCTTCAAGTGYGTCTGTCCGTCGGGCTTTGACTACGAGCAGAACATGGGCGGCTGTCAAGATGTGAACGAGTGCTCGACGGGCGCGAGCCCCTGCATCTACGGCTGCTCCAACACCGACGGAGGCTACCTGTGCGGCTGCCCTGGAGGTTTCTACCGAGCAGGACAGGGGTGAGAGAGGGCAGGGCGAGCGGACCACATGTCACAGGATGCTTGATGGAATCAGGTAGAATAAAGCTCTCTGTGTCGTTGCAGTCACTGTATAACAGGGTCAGGTTTCCCGGGCCAGCTCGTGGAGGGTGAGGAGGATGACAGCCTTTCTCCTGAGGCCTGCTACGAGTGCAAGATCAACGGGGGAGGAAAGGGCGGACGACAAAAGCGCAACACTGATGAAAATGAGCTCAACCAGGTAAATATGTTCCAGGTTCTGACTTGAGTTACTTGAGTTTTGTTTATTTATTTATTTATTTATTTATTGATTGTGAGAATTCACCACCATCACTTTGTTCACGCCCAGTGTTGTATAAAGTACCACAAAGTGATACATGAGTAAAAGTACAAGTATNGTTCACGCCCAGTGTTGTATAAAGTACCACAAAGTGATACATGAGTAAAAGTACAAGTATCTTATCAAAAATTTACTTTGGTAAAAGTTAAAGTCTCCTTTAGGAATATTACTTGAGTAAAAGTCTTAAAGTATCTGATACTTTTTGTACTTAAGTATCAAAAATAAAAGTATTGATTTAAAATGAGCAGTTAGATTTTCTGTAAGGACATTTATTAGGAGGTGACCTCCCACCAAAAAACGCAGAAATGACTGTCATATTAAAATAATTAATTTATGTTAAATGTAGGATGCACTAGTCTAGCTGTTTGAGTTTATATACATATATCAAGGGTGACCAAACCTTTTCCCCAAAATAAAAACCTATCTGAGGGCTGCGGCCAAATGCGGTAATATAATTCATGAAATACAAATACTTGTTAAGTACAGTCCTTTCATTTTAATGATCATGTCCTGCTGGAGTGTGACAGGATTTGTTTGTGTACAAACTAATATGGTATCAGAATTTCACATATTTTTTCTTCTCATTCACCCACAATTAAATTCACTCTATCTCGGAGGCACAATTTATATGGATAGTATTTATTTTTTACAATAACAAGCTGGAATGAAAACAAGTACAATGAAATAAAAGTAACGACTTTCTACTTCTTGTCTTTTTTTAAAAGTGTAAGGAGTAGAAAGTACAGATAATTGTGTGAAAATGTAAGAAGTAGAAGTAAAAAGTWGGCTGAAAAATAATTACTCAAGTAAAGTACAGATACCAAAAAAGTTCCACTTAAGTACAGTAAAGAAGTATTTGTACTTAGTTACTTTACAACTCTGTTCCCGCCCACAGGTGAGCATGGCCAGCGTGGACACTYTGGCGTCCATCCCCATGAACCTGTCTCTGTCCTCGCTGCTGGACAAAGAGCCTCTGCTGGAGCTCCTCCCCGCCCTGCAGTCCCTGGAGCGCCACGTGCGCTACGTCATAACCCACGGCAACGCCGACGAACACTTCGGCCTGTTCGAGCGCCGCGACGGGAAGAGCGTGCTCCGGCTCGGCAAGAGGCCGCCCCCGCCGGGGTCCTACCGGCTGGAGATCGCCAGCCTGCCTCTGTTCGGGCCGCGCAGGCTGCACCAGCTGGAGAAGCAGCATGACAATGACTACCTACGGGGGGAGTTAGGAGACGCTCTGCGCATCAAGCTCCACATCCACCTGCACTGAGCTCAGCGTGTGCAATCCTGGTCCGGACTGAGCTTTAACCTTTAATCCAATAACCCTCCCCCAGTTACACCCGTACGGACCCTCCAACCAACACAGGGGGCATTTAAGGACTATCAAAGACTGAGTCAATCAGCCCAACTCTACCACCACTTTGTTAGTCTTCATTTTTTGTTCATGATTTGTGCTTTTTGTTGATGTGTTTTTTTTTTTTACTCGTACCTGACCCAGCACTCATTCTTTAGATGGCAAAGAGGTGCTTTTGTGCTTGGACCACAACCGCTTTATGCAGTAAAAGCAGCAGACAGGGCCTTACTTTTATAAACCAGAGTAGCATAAATTCAGTTCAACAGGGCTTGTTTTATTGCAACATGTAAGGTAGTTTTGAAGTTGAAGGTCTGCATCTGAAACAATTGTTTGTATAAAGAAGTGAACGAGGTAAAAGATGACTGGTCCAAGAACTTTCTCACCTCTCTGTGATCCTGAAAAGAAAACCACAACACTGGGGATAAAGGTTTGCCCCCCCCCCCCCCCCCCCCCACTCGTCTTAGGATTGTAGTATGTTAAACACGAAGGACTGCAACACTTCCGCCGCATTTCAGGTTCTTACGTTCATAGCACTCTGTTGTTCTGTAGCTGGAAGCCCACCCACGTTCAGATGAGAGAGCAGCCAGCAGGCCGTGTTCTGCTCAGATGTGCGATTGCAGGGATTTAGCATGTTTGCGTGTGTGTGTGCTGTCATGTTTTCGGTTACCTCAGTACCTCTCGCCAAGTGTGGGCACCATGCTGTGATGCTGACTCCAAAACAAAAGAGGGTGCTAGCATCCTTCCGTCCATCACGGGCTGGCGGCGGGKGGGGATAAACTCAGTAGGACCACAGTAGCTCGTAGACTTGAAACGAAGGTGGATCAGGTTGAGTTTGTGTTTGTCATTTAAGGGATTTTTGACCTCAGGTGCGCTGATTCTGGACCTGAGCTCCAGCTTGTTTAGTATGAAGTGAAAAAGTCTTTYTTTGTCTCTCGTGTGTCAGCTGTGAGAAACTGATTTTCTCTTGTTTTAGTTTCTTCATATTTCAGGAGAACAGAAATGTAGCTGAAATTAAACTGACTTTATCTGACTTCTTTGACTTTACTTGTTCTTGTGACGCCTGAAGACCAAGCCTCGTTTACGACACAGCAGTTCCCCCCCCCCCCCACCCCACCAAAAAAAAGGTACATAGCATGTGGAGCTGGAACTAAAAAGTTGTGCTTTGGAGAGGAAGGGCACGCACAGGTGAACTCTAAACCTCACAATAAATGAATGTCAGGTCATAATTCATCAATCGTAAATATTTTTTTATCCTCTCAAAGAGGGCGAAAAAAAGGTGCTATATCATACCATCGCTTATGCTGTGGAAAGCAAATGCAGTCTTGAATCTGGATTGCGGAAGTGACTTTTTTTTGCAAGGTTGTATTGTTGTGTATGTCTGTCTTTTTGTACTGTCTGAATATTATCAAACATGCTTTGTGATAATTAAATTGTATATTTTTAAATGAAGACTTGATTGATTTTCACTGTCAAGGCAAAAGAAAAACTTTTAGGTTTTAGCGCTTTTGAATGTTTACGAAAAAAAATAAAGAAATCTGCCTCCCCGAACCAAAAAAAAAAAAAAGGTTAAGAAAAAGACTAAAGTTGTATTTGTTTTCTCACATCCAGGGAAACTTACACTGTCCGTGGCGTACTCGCAAAACAAGCTGGGATCTGCGGTGCTACATCTGTTTTTATTTTTAACATTCAGGGTCACTGCACTGTTTCACAGCCAACAGTAAACATGTTTTATACCACACAGCCATTTCCTAACAAAACATTTGTATGTGTCGTATCATTTCTGTCAATGTGTCGACTTTGAGAAAAAGGCGTGTGCTTACTGTAACCCAGTTTCAGCCTCAAACTTGAATACTGTCTTTTTTTTTTGTTTTGCAGCTTTATTGAAAACCAGATGCAGGAGTTTTCTGTATTTTTTTCTCTAATTGTAAGCTTCATACCAGAAGYATAAGAGTTTAACTCAAAGCTGATGACAATCATCCAGTCGCACCTACAATTAAAAGATCAATCTTTTATCAAATATTCATGCAAAGATGGAAACCAAAGATGTTAAACAGCAAACGGCAGTCTGTAAAGTGATTCACATAATTGTATACTTTTGTTCAGTGTCATTCATGGCAATAAAATGTTGTCAGTTCAGTTTCTTTCTGTCTTGCGCTGCCTTTTTTTTTTTAACACAAAAAGCTGCCTAAAAACACTAGTAATAGTAAATAGCAGTCATTTTATTTCCAATATGAACAGTGAATTTTAATCCTACTGGATCAATAAGGGGAAAGCAACTGAGAAAGAAAGTTTTAAGCCAGTGTATCAAAAACAAAGCAGATGATCAGAAAAAGACAAGTCACAAAACAGCAAAGCTACTCATTTCTTCTCAAACATGGCTGCATGACGAGTTCAAAAACCTACAGTTTGAAGATTTCAATATTAAGAGGACAAGACAAAAGGATAGAAAAAAGGAGACTCCAAAACTTGAGTCGAGAATAGAAAAATAAAGCTTTTTTTGTCTAAAGGTTTGCTTCATCGACTCTAAGGACCACAACCTGTCAACAGAAATTCTACTTGCAGTAATAAGGGAGGATATTGTGTTTTATATGGCTTCTTATAGTCACAAGGATACACAGAAATCTGATGGAAGCTACCTGCTCGAGGATCAGAATCAGCACAAAACATGTGAAACCACTGAAAACTTTAGATCGTGCTTCATTAAAGGGGCGTCTGCTTAAATAAAAACTCCACCTGAGTTCCTTTATCTGCCTGTGTTACAGAGTTGTTTCTTTGAAGCAGCTTGAGGGTGTGAGCCATGTTCTTATGAATCATTTTCTGGGCTGAAAAAAAAAGAAAAAAAAAGGGAAAGTTCAGATCTTTTTAAGTGTGGTTCTGTGGAGAAGTTATTAACAATTATTGTCTTACCTGTTGTAGATAGCTCTTTGATTGAGCTCAGTTTGGAGTTTGTTTCTGAACGGAATGATGAGCTAGTGGCTAATCCGAGCAGGATTACGACAGCCAAGACAGTAAAGATTTATAAACATTTTTGAAGTGTTTTAAGGATGTTGAAGACAGCTCCATTAATTTTCAATTACAAAAAAGGCAAGAGAAACAAATATCTCATAGCTGAAGAACCAAAAGTCACAGCCGGAGAGCAGAACGATCTGATTTCTAAATTGTTAAAATAACCCAAAAGCTGCAGAGCGTTTTTTCATGCCGAAAAAGATACAAAAAAAGGGATTTCAATAGTTTGAATGCTTGATAAGTTTTCACATCAATAATGGCAGACAAAAAAATTAATCCATCACAAATCCCTCTGAAATGATTGAGATTATTGTTGTAATATAACAGCAATCCACTTCAGTCTTAACCTCACTCAGACTGGAAATTAGCTTGTTAAATATTCAGAATTAATTGCTCTACACTGAGCTCATTCAAAGAGCTATCCAAAACAGGTAAGATACTACTTGTTCATAACCGTTCCACAAAACCCCACTTTTAAAGATCTGAACTGCTGCTTTAGAAAAACAGACCATGAAGTTGTGGTTAGGACAGGTTAAGGCAGCTGTGCAGCTCATGGTTTCTGTCCTTCATGCTCCAGGAGCTGAGGGATTGGCTTGCAGGCGGAGCTTCAGGTTGACCATTTGTTTCGGTTGCAGAGAGTCCTGCAGCCTCGTATTTACATCATTTATTCAAGCCCCTCCTCCAGTGCATTCAAAAGTGTCCCACCAAAGAGTCTGTCTGTGCACGATGTAAGTCCACACCCTACACCAGTGCATAATCAAACTGACCCCTCTCCAGCCCCTCCTTGTGGTCAGTCCAGGATGATGCAGGCATGCGGCTGTACGGGTCCAGCAGGATCCTGAAGCATCTGACCAGCAGGAAGACCAAGAAGAGCATGAGGAGGCCCACAAAAGCCAAGGCAGTACGCTGTTCTGTGTCCACCGCCACCAAGGCCAGCGGAGCGCTGCTGCTGCCACCGCCAGGACTGCCGGGCAGGGAGGAGCTGGCCGGGGACAGCAGCAACTCGTAGTCGAGTGTGGCCACATCGTTCATCCTCCACGGGGCCCGGAGGCAGGGCTTACACACCGACTGGATGGTCGGTGTGTTGGGTGGAGGTGTGGAGAAGGTGTTCATGGTCGGTGAGGAAAAGCCAATTGGAGAGTTTGTGTTTTCTATCAGAGGCCTGTTTTACACAAACAGCGATGGGAGGGATTTGTCTAAACTGTCTGTGCTTTGACTGGTTCAGACATTTTCTTCTAGTGGTTAAATAGTCATTCTAATGCGGCGTGACCTTGGCAGGTTTGACCCAAATCTGCTCTGACAACGTGACACACACACACACACACACACACACACACACTTTTCAATTAACGTGGACTACTTTTTCTGTCACACATTCTAGAGCGTGGCCAGCGTCGCTCAGTTTCTTTCCTATTTAGAGGCCGAGCCTGAGGCGGTTACTCTTTATTTCTRTTTATCAAAACCACACCAGCTCACCTCCATGCTCTCAGTCGTAGCGTACAAAACGTGAGGCCGTCTCCTCCTCGCACAAACACACACAAACAAACATCTTATTGTTCGTCAAGGTCATTGTTGTAGAGGGTTGAAAGAGCGCAGATGGACATCAGCTGTTCGAGCTCGTCTGGGTGTTGTGCTGCTGAACTGTGATGTGTTACACACAAATACCGCTATTTAAAGCATCTGCAGGGGCCCAGCAGCCAGGTGTGTGCGTGACTGTTTGAGCTCATGTGTGGCTGTTTTGTTTGTTGGAGGTCAGCCGATTGATGGGCCTGAATATTAAAAGGCTCATTTTTCTAATGTCGCCTGCTAAATGCGAAGCCTTCTCTTCGCTCGGTCAGCCAGAGTGATAAGTAGGTCAGCACCGTCGAAGACAGGAACAAGCCATCATTTCCCTTTTCCTCTGGACGATTGGTTCTGAAAGTTGACAAGCAAGAAGCAGGGAATACTTTGAGTGGGGTTTGGATTATTATCATCAGATGGTCCTGGTTACGCCGAGCCAGGGATGCCCACCTAAAAATAAACAGAGAGATCTGGTTACTGATGCAAAACAGCACAGATCAACTATAAACAGGTTTTCCATCGTTTGGAATTTAACATAAAGATGAAGTCATTCCATCTTCGTGATAATTACGACCCTCTGCTCTTTAAGTAACGGTGACATTAGCCATCTGCACCGAGAACACGCAGCACTGGCATTCTCTGCAACGGCACTCAATTAGGAAGCTGATTATAGTGTCATTATGACCACATTAGCAGTAATGAAAGCATGATTATAAACAACGGTGGCGCATTACCTCACCCCCCCATTTGTCAGTGCGCCTTTAAGAAGATGCATTTGCTCCCCTGTTGATCCCCCGTGTTTTGTTTGACAACATTATGGGGTGGAAAAAAAGACAAAGCATTGTAGAGTGTTATTAATAATTTAGAGTCACGCCTCCCACAGCAGGTCCAGGTTTCCAGTCACCGGAGGAATGTGGTGCATCTGCAGCAGCTTTGTGCTCCGGACGTCTGAACAGAGAGGGGAAACGACCGTGAGTTTGTAAAGGCCGACAGGAGAGCAAAGGATGGATGGGCGGGAGGAAAAAAAAGTTCCCGTGGTGAAGTTGGAGCTGCTCGCTGGCACAATCTGCCGTGGCAAAATGCCTCCTCTGCCCCCCCCACCCCACCCACCTCCCCCGCCTGTCCGCCGTGCTCAGTTCAAAAGGTTTTTTCTCTCCGACTGCCACTTCATCAGCCACAGTCTCCAGGGTGCTCGCTGCACCAGGCTGGCTGGCAGCAGGGTGACACACCTGGGAGGTGACACTCGCAGGCTGAGAATAAATGTGCACTTTGCAGCTGAACAAAAATAGACCTGCTGTGGACGTGCGACTAGATGTTTACTGACGTTTAACAATGGCAGACACAAGGTCTGAATGCACACAAACATAAAATCGACAGCAGCTGCAGCTCCACGTCGCTTTGTTAAATCGTGACTTATATGAGACATTTTGAAGCCAATCTAGTAATGTTTAACCCTCCTWTCGTCCTCAAATATAATAACAAATTTGGTCCTTGGGGTCAATCTGACCCCAGGGATATTTACCTGGTGACAATGATTTATGGAATATTGTTGACCACGTTTTTGTGACAGGCACTTTGTTMATTTGTTCAATACATAAATAACCCCTGAAAATCAGTGAGTTGACCTGTGCTCTAGCGCCACCATCAGGCCAAACCTCCATCCATCCATCCATCCATCCATTTTCTGTACACGCTTCTTCCTTTTCAGGGT